TCGCATTTAGATCCGGGTGAGCAGTGCTGCCTGGCTCAACTCTCTTTGTGTGTGTTCCTGTCTTCCTGGTTAAAAATAAGGAAGTTTAGAGTCGCTCTGTAGCATAAGAGAAAGTGGTCGATCAACAAGAACTGGGCGCTCTGCGGCTCCTGTCCTCGGCCCGTCATCCCAGCAACTCGAGAATCTCAGACGTGTGTCTTCTTGCGGATAAAAGCTGAACATTGAATTGATCTAACAGAACAGGATGGTGCTGGAGGCCTGTGCCTTTTGCAGTGAGAGCCACAGATATGTCCAGTTTCTCACTACATACAGCCCTTCCCAGCTGGTACCAATCTCAGTGCATTGGGTGGGGTAGGCTGGTTGTAAAGGGCTTGGTCCATAGGTGTTCTGGTCTACCCTGGACCCACAGGGAGTCCAGCTCAGGCGAAGGAAGGGAAAGAGAGGCATGCTGACAGGAAAAGGGCTGAGGAATGCATTCATGCTCCTTCGGAGTCCCCCACATCGAAGACTAGTTAAATACGCACCTCGGGATGCTTTTCGTGGACATTTTAGACTGGCTGTGATTTGTTTTTCAGAAGCCTCGTTCCTGACGCTTGGGGATGGAGACAGGAAGGAGGAAAGATGGGAGAATAGTTAAGTGTCACAGCTGGCTTCTGGCAGCCCGTGAGCAAAGACGAACACATCGCCATCCCAACATGGAGAGCGTTGCCAGTGAGGAGGACTGTGAAGTGCCAGGGTTGGCAGAAGCAGCATTCAGTTGCAGCTCATTTGAGAGCAAACTCCAGGAGTCAGGAGAAGAGCCTAGTTTATGTGCCAGGAGTCTTGGTTCAGGAGGTTCAGGAAATAGCTCGGGGAAAGCCTTTTAATGCTGCGGGATAGCTTTGTCCATGAGATTCTCTTTGAAGTGAATACACTTCATTAATCAGGACAGTGTTTTAGGGGGTGAATGCAGAGTTGGGGAGAACTACAAAAAGCATAAAAGGCTGGAAGAATTTCACCCTGTCTTGATGCGCCACCACCCCCCCACCCCCCCCCACTTAGGTCCTGTTCCTTATAGATAATTGGTAAGAAGATGCTAGAGAGATGGGCTGCGATGGTGAGGGGATGAACAAGATGGTGATGATAAGCTTATAGAATGGACCAATTTACATCAGTCTTCCTATTTAATCCTAGGAGCTGTGGGATACTGAGGCACAGGAAGGTTAAGGCACTTGTCCAAAGCTGCAGAACTAGCGGCGGGACAAGACTTCGGCGGGGACAGAGGCCATGTTGCCCCGGGCTTGTACTCATATCCACTGCAGAGCACTTCTTCCCTGGAGGCATAAAGGAGGGAGGCGCATCAGTGGACCCTGGTCTCCAGGCCATGTGCACCGAGGACTGGCTTCCTTTCTTTGTTCCACTCCCTGTTGGTCATCCCCTGGGGCTTAAAGGTTCTAGGCGCTTGGGCAGAGGACTCTGGGCTTGGGGCAGTGTCCTTGGGGTTGCTTTTCTCCTTTGACTGGCAGATGACCCGCTGGCCATGCCAGGTCCGGAGAACCTGTGCTCTAGGACTCCCATCTACTGTCTTCACTTTCCAGGGCACCCCAGTCTTTGTCCCAGGATTTTAGGTGTTTCAGTCATTCCCCCCTCGCCCCGCCGCCAGGGGCGACTCTGACACGATTTGCACGATGGGAGCACAAGCACCGTTAAGAGTGGCCATTGCTCCTCCAGCTGCACTCTGTGACCAGGAGGACGGCTAAGTCCCTCCAGAACGGTTCGGGTTTGTCTCCCTCAGTCCTTACGGACTTTTGGCTGGCCCGGAATGGAGACAGCACAGGTGGCACCTCAGGATGCTCTGAGGATGTTGGTGGTGGTCATGATGCTGATATTGAGGACTCAGGTGTATTTTTCTAAACGGTAGTGCCTTTAGTAACGCAGGTAAATCTCCACTCTGTGAGCTAAATCCCATTTCTGTCCCCATCCCCGTACTGAAGTGGTTCGCTCAGGCGACACGGGCAGTAAATGACAGAGACGGGATGCAGACTTAGGGCCTTCCAACACCAGAGTCTGGCTCTCAGCCACTACACTCTGGACCACTTCCCTGCTCAGAACCCTGCAATGGTTTCCCCAGTACCCATGGGACGAAGCCCAAAAGCACCTCATTCCTGCAGGGGATCATATGCTTCAGCAAAATTACTTTTTGTTCTTGTGCACATTGTGGTTATCATTACTTCCAGGCCTTGCGTGTGCCATTCCTCTGCCTCTTAATGCCAACTTCAGTGGCACTTTCTACAGGAAGTCTTCCCAGGGACCCTTTACTTCAGGTCAGGTGTCTCCATCCTTCCATGTCTATAGACCCCCCTGCCCCAGCACTTACCATCGTATTTTTCCCATGTCACTTTAATTCTCTATCTGTCCCGCTTAACTGTGGCAACCCCATGTCCCCTTCATCGAATACCTAAGCAGGTGCTTGGTATGTTAATCCATTAATCGATACAATCTATATATGGGACTGTAATAGTTTTGCTGGCGAGAATCATAACTGTGGTATCGATTTTAAATTTCTAAGTTATTTTAACAAGTAGTCGTTTCTATCAGATTTGCTTGCTGTTCTGGATGAGATCCCTAGTAACTGATGTCTTCAGTAGTATTATCAGAATTGAACTGGAGCCTGTGGCTGTCGGGCCATTTCAAAGAGACTGAAATACCTGAGTAAAATAACTGAAAAACCCTTTGCCACAATCCCCAAAACAGACAAACCAAAAGCCTCTCTTTTCAAACAACCCGAAGCACCTGGCTCTATAAACTCCAGAGTTCTCCTGATTTTTGCGTGCCTGTCCTGGGGAATTATGGGCATTTTTCCTCCTGTGTTTTTCTTTTAAAAGTTTTATAATTTTAGTTCCTGTGTTTATGTCTATGATCTGTTTCTAATTAAGTTTCATGTATGGCATGAGGTAAGGACCAAGGTTCATTTCTTCCCAGATGGATCTCCAGTTAGTTCTAACTCTATTTCCCCCATTGTGTTGTCTTGGTACCTCCACCAAAAATCAAGTTGGGCATGTATTTGTGGGTATATTTCTGAATTCTGTGTTCTTCCTGATCTATATATCTCTACTGACACTAATCCCACTCTGTCTCGTAGCTTTATAGGAAATCTTGAAATCAGTAATGTAAGTCAGTTAATACAAATTTTAGATACTCTTTCTTAGAACTTACCAACTAAGCAAAAGAGGATACCTACCCAGAGTATCACATTATACAGGTTTCATGCTTCTAAGATAGTTGGTAAGTCTCCTGTCTCAGATGATCTGCTGTCTGAAATCAGGCTGAGAGTAAGGGCCACGGGTAAGAGTTTCTGATCTAGTTCAGCCTGTCACAGTTAAATATGGTATGAGAATGGGAAGATTCTGGACCACTGGACTGCATTGGCAGTACTGACTTTGGGCACTGGTTTTAATTCTGTCTCCCATCCACCTTTTAGAAAACCCAGTGGCAAGGGCTTTACACAGACCTAGAAAAAAAAGTAGCAAAAAATATTAGCAAGAGCCACAGAATTCTCGAGGAATCAGTCTATATAACATTATCCCATATTCAGGAGTGGACGTTCATCCTATGTGAGGGACCTCTTGGTAAAGGTTTGGAATATTTATGTAAACATGCTCTTAGAAGCCTAAAATTTACAGGAGTAGAAAGTAATGTTTGTGTTTTTATAGAGAGTATTCTACTCAATATGGACCTTAAAAACTTAATATCCAGAAGGGTTTTCATTTTGAATGTATAATTGTCTGGAGCCTTTTTGGTATGGCATTTGTTTGAGAAAGCCTGATTTATCCACCTTGCCTCTGGATGAGACTGGGGGCTGCTGTATGAACACAGCCAGAGCTCGGGGGACTCAGGATGCTGTTCAGAGAAGGAAGAAGAGATTTCGGTAACTTGCATAAAGTCACACAAGAGGAATTAAGATTAAAGCTAAGACTCCAAGCCCCGCCGCATCAGGGCTCTCACTTCATGATGCACGCCTGGCCCCGTGGACGCATGGAGGAGAATTGGTAGTACCAGAAGAGTATTGGCTTGAACCAAACAAAACTGCTATTTGGGAGGTCGAAAGAGATGGACTCTCGGGGATTTCCTGTGGTTCCCCTGTTGTGTGACTCCTCAGACAGGTGTGAGGCTCCTGTGGCATTGTATGGAAACGGACGGGATCTGATGTTCACTGGCAAAAAGGTTGGCTTCCCGTGGCTCCAGGGACGAGGGTATTTAGGAGAGGGCAGGATGGTGAGAGAACTCTCTGGAGATTTGCTCGGGGAAAGCTTCGAGAAAGGAGGAGGTGGGCCCTCCAGAGGGCTCTGCATGATTCTGAGGCAGGAGCCAGAGCTTCCCTGTCAACCCTCTACCCCAGCCACACTGAGGAAGGGTCTTTCCTCAGCAGCAGAAATCACTGTGAGCTTGAACCGTGTTGTGAGCACTGAGGTGCCAAGAGGCTTTTGTAAAATCAGCTTTGTTACTATTTTGGCTCTCTTTTTCCCTTGTTGGATTAAGGACAAATAGAAAGGTGTTCTCAGCTTCTGACCGTGATCGGAGAAGCATGAGGAAATGCGTTTGTTTGGTCATTGCTATCAGACTTCTATCAGTGTTCTTGAGATCCTGTTTTAGGGTCTGACTGGAAATAAAAGCTTATATTTAATAAGCGCAAGCAAATAATGTTAGAAGCCCATTTTTTTAATACTCACCCTTTTTTAAACCAATGCATCAATAATTTGATTGTAAGGTATTGGTCTGACACAGCTGACTGAACCTCTTTCTTGAGGCATGGTATCTTTCTTTCCCTCTTGGTGTGCATGTGTGTGCGCATGTGTCAGACGTGTATTTCTCTCTTTCTGTTCACTCTCTATGCCAATAATACTTTCTCTTCTCTCTCTCTCTCTCTCTCTCTTCCTCTCTGGTGTATCCAGAATTTCTGACTCAACAGAAATCTTAGAAGTTGAACTCATGTGTGGTGTCTTTCCTTTTTGCTTTTCCAGTTCCTCCAGGAGTGATACAAAATGGAGCACGGGTTCTGAGCCGCGGGCTGTTTCCTGGAGTTCGGCCTTTGCCAATCACTCCCATTGGAATGACGGCAGCTGTGAGGTAAGGGAGACACTCTCTGGGCAGAGCCTGCCTAAGAAGTGGGAGGGGCATCGTCATGTGTCCCACAGGGTCACTTGGGTTGGAGAGGCCCAGCCTCTAAACAGTGAAAACCATAAACCTGGTTTGGGTGTTCAGAAAAGTCACAGTAATTCCCAGGGACCCCAGTCCACGTGCCAGCTTCACCTTCTGGGCTCAAATTATCTTGGTCCCTTTGCAGATAAGGAGATGAAGACAAATAAGCATTTTTGTCTAAGAAGGTAGGGCAAGGTGGGGGGGAAGGAAGTGGTGAGCAAGTTGTTCATTAGATTCTAGGCCAACTGGTCTACCTCTAGAATGAAATGCAAAATCCTGTGTGAAAAGTGCCTTGGTAAGTGGGATATGAATAACAGGTGGCATCATTCCCCCTGCTTCCAAGAATCAGGTCAGTTGCCCAAGCCGCATGAACTCTTCCCTGGGAAATTGCTTCCCTCCATCCTTCTTACTCCGTTGCTGGCCCTGGGTTAGGGTTTCTCATTAGCTTTGACCCCTCACAGGTGCCAGTGTGGATGCCACCTCCTGTTTTCCTGCTGCTTCTCTGCCCACTGCCTCCCACACATCAGCCTAACATCACCCCATTCCTTCTGTCTCCTTGAGCCAAACTTGTTCCCCAAGGATGTCCAGTGTTGGCCCATCTTATTCACTTCGTTGCCTCTGTGTAGGCTTCCCTCAGCCTCCGCGTGCAAATCAGCACCTCCTTCAAGGTCCATCACAAAAATGATTACTTCACAAAGCTTTTGGGAACGTGGCCTCTGAGCCACCCTGGATGGAGTTTTCTTTCCTTTGAAAGCCCCATGCTTTGGTTGTGGCCCTTTGATGGGTGACCCTGTGTGGTAAAATTCCTCTGTGTGTCCCCTTCTGCTCTCGGGTTCACTTGCTATAGATAGGGTTGCCTCTCACTCACTTGGCTGATGGCTGATGGCTGATGGCTGCTGGCTCCTCACGTTTGCAGTGTCAGGCCCAGGCTCTCGCTTGGAAGGCCCGTCGCGCTGAGCTGCACCCCTCCATAGCATCCTCTCCTTGCTCATTCTGCACTTTTGGATCAAGTTCGCATCTGAACGCCATTTTCCTTTCATAGTGTCTCGTGTCCCGAAGGAAACCACCCCAGAGGGTCTGTTGGGGGGCTGAGGGAAGATGCAAGGTCGAGCTCCCTCGTGTGAAGGAACCACGTGAAGCTTTCCTGCTCAATTATGTCTTGCCACTCTTCTGGCAAACCAACCTCCTCTTGCCAAGGTGGAAGTCCCCCAATCTTCAGGGCAGACACTGGTGTCTAGGACCTGATGAGGAGGGAATTTGGTTGGAATTAGAAGAGTAATAAAGTTAGAAAACCACGTAGCATTTCCGCTAACCCAACATGGTGATACTTTCCAAAAATAGATGGGGGTTGGGTCTCTCTCTTGTATTTCTCCAGTATCTTCCATGGTTATCTGTAGATCAGTAATTCCTGAGTTCGTAAATGAAAAGCCTCTTCCACGAAGCCAAAGTATCAGTGCCTTTGCCTCACATTATGAGAGACACACTCCATTTTCTGTTCTTAAAATCTTTGCAGCCTCACCTCCCACCTTACCTTCTTGGCTGACAGGACTTTGAGACTGTAGACTGTTTCTCGTGGAACAGCAATCTTTGTTCATTAGCAGATTCCAAGTGTAGGTTTCAGTTTGTCATCTTGAGCATTCCTTTCAGCCCTTTCTAGGATGGGTCTGATGTGGCTCCGGCAGTTCCTCGGAGCAGAGCACAAGAGAGCCGGGCGCACGGGGAGAGAGACAGAAGACGAGATTGGCCTTCGGCAGGAGCCATCCCCTAATTTTAATTATTATCCTCGTAGCATATGTCATTTCCCATTATCATACATTTTACTGATTAGTACTCCCTAGAGGATCTTTTAAAATACTGATTTCCTTTTTTTTTTTCTCCTGGTTATGTTCTGGTTGGGCGATAACAAAGCACCACCGCAAAACAGTGAAGTCTTGTCTCTCATTAAAGAGTCGCCGCTTCCCCAGTGCAGGGAGCACCTCACTTGGGCTCTGCCACGGTAAAAGACCACAAAACAGATTTCAGGTGCAGTCAGGAGACAGAAACCATACTAGGTGTTCGAGCAGGGAGACTTTCACGTAAAGAACCGTCAACCAGGTAGGAAGTTATGAACCAAGTAACTGGAAGGATGAAAAGAGAGCTCCAGGCATCATGGTGAGAACAGTTGCCAGAAGCAGCCACATCCCCTCGGGCTAAGAGGAAGGGGAGAGGTTGTGATGGCTGCCCTGCGGAGGTGGGGCTCAGACCTCAGAAGAGGAGCTGGGGGCAGGGATCCAGACCTCTGACGGGTACCCCTCCCCAGGGTACTGGAGTCTCTGAGCTCAGAGGAGGGACCTGTGGAAGGACCAGAGGGATCTCAGGATCTCCTGCTGGTGCAAGCCCTGTAGGGAAACGTGAAGAAGTTGGTTCTGTAAGCGTCAGAGGGACCACGAGCTGGATTCAGCAGCTTCTACAGGAATGAGCTGCCACCTCAGGTGAACAGGATACACACAGGAAGGGGCATGTCCTTTCTTCCTCCACCCCCTTCCCAGTCTTCCATGGCACCTCCTGTTGTCTGAGTCTAACATGGAGCCAGATGGTGCAGCAGACGTGGGGCTTGCACAGCCCAGGCCCAGCCCCAGCCCCAGCCTGCAAAGCACTGTGGAAGGGTGGGTTTGGGGCTGAGTGACGGTAGTTTCAAAACGGCACCACTTGCTTGATGTCTGTCCACTGTGAAAGCACACGTTGTCTCAGAGTGACCTTCCTCAGCATCAGAGAAGTTTTCGGTGAAATGCACAACTGCTGGTTTGCAAAACTAGACAGGTTTCCATCCGCATAAATAAGAGAGAACCAGTCAAGAAAACCATTGTGCATTAGCAGTGCATTCTCCAAATACGAGTTCGGCACCTTCCAGCTCAGTTTTAAGAGAAATTAGGGAGAGGAGTATTGCAAGCTCTGTAAGGTCAAGGACCCTTGCTCAGAATACTTTGCCTTCTTCATGCCCCAAATGCCTGGCAAATAATAGGTACTGAGGTGCTTTCAGAAAGAATAAACATAAACATAGCCACAGGGGTATTTGCAGAACCAGTGTCTGTGTAAAACCCATTAATAAGTCTTTGGGCGGGGGGAGGATCTTGTTTTGCTCTTTCACACTCATTGTAATTTAAAATTTTTTAAAAATTTGACCATGTATCTGAGGTTAAAAGGAAAACAGTCCACAGGAGAACAGAACAACAGCAGATGTTGGCCAGCCCCCGTGTTGGTGACCAAGGGTTTCTGGGAGTGTTCCGTGTTCCCACCACTGCCCCCCCCCCCCCCCGCCATGAGTGCCGTGGGGGATGGAGGGAGGGCCAGAGAGTCATTAGCACCCACTAAAGACCAATTTCCTACTCTGCTTTGTGTGACAGGTTTTCTGTGTGAGTCTAAGTGACTTCTCCTTAAGTGAAAATATTTGTCTTTCAGGGATTTTTTTTTTCCCACCACCGAGTGGCAAAGGCCATGTTTGTTTGTCTTAACTCTGAAACTGTTATTGACATAGATGAAGTGTTACTTTTATTAGCTGATCATTACACAGCTTGTATTTGCTGGGTTCCTTTGCATATAATTATGATGTGAAATCTCCTTGTAAGAGTATCTGTCAATAGTGTAATTGACTTTACAGTGTTGACTTTTTACTCAATAACCTCAGAGATTGGCCCATCCTTAGTCGTTGGAAACCTGCTTATTTTTAAATTTGCCTGGGCATAGAGTCCTCAAGACACATCATCCTCAAAATGATTCTCGCACGTCTTAAAAGTTTTATGCCTGTGTCTTCGGTTTTCCCAGAGACATTCTTTGCAGAGAATACGTTGAATGGAACAAACTATTACACCCCTAGGAGAACTGTTTCTGGCTCTCTTGGGAAACAGGAGCCCCAAATTTCTTACATTTATAGCATTATGGGCTGCCTCCCAGGTAGGGGCCATAGCAGCTCTCTGGGATCTGGGCCGCCTTGCTTTCAACTCTGAGGGCTCTTTTGACCGCAAGTGATCATTCAGGTGGTTGAGAAGAATTAAATGTCCAAGGCTTGCCAGAGAGGACTGAGAGAGAACTGCTGAGGGGGTGGGGGTCCTTCATAAGGCAGCAGGGCCAGAAATTACATACGAGAACTCAGGAACCAAGTTTCCCCGGTCCTTATCCTGTGGTTGTGTGTATGTGCCTAGCTTCTCATGAGAAATCCAGTCTTACGGGTTATTAGGGTAATGCAGAGTTATGTGCCTGACCTATGATATGCGTTAAGTAGGTGCTTGATAAATAATGTGGAAAAACAACCCAATTCAGAAATGGGCAAAGGACTTGAATAGATATTTCTCCCAAGAGGATATACAAATGGCCAAAGCTCATGAAAAGATGCTCAGCATCACTAATCATTAGGGAAATGCAAATCAAAACTATGAGATACCAGCTCACACACATTAGGATGACTCGTAGCAACAGCAGAAACTAACAAGTGTTGAGGAGGATGCGGAAGACTTGGAACCCTTATATGCTATGGGTAAGGATGTAACATGGTGGAGCTGTTGTAGAAAACAGTATGGCGATTCCTCAAAAAATTAAAAATCAAATTACCATATGGTCCAGCAGTTCCACTTCTGGGTTTGTACCCAAAAGAACCAAAAGTAGGGTCTTGAAGGGATTTTCGTTCATCTGTGTTCATAGCAGCACTATTCACAATAGCTAAAATGTTTAAGCAACCCAAGGTTCTGTCAACAGATGAATGAATAAGCAATATGTGGTATACACACACAATGGAATCTCATTCAGCCTTGAAAAGGAAAGACATTCTGACACGTGCTACGTACGGTACGGATAAACCTTGAGGACATTACATTAAGTGAAATAATCCAGTCACAAAAAGACAGACTCTATGTTCCACTTATATGAGGTATTTAGGGTAGTCAAAATCCTAGAGA